CGGAATAACAAGGGAACAGTGCATAAAGAATTTTACTAGGTACGTTTCCTTAGCCCCTGGGGAGGCCAAAAACACCAGGCACAGGAGCTTCGAGGAACCTTGCTCCAAACTCTAGTCATCTTTTATCGAAGTTCAGACACTGGTAGAGGAACTGGAACGTTGGAGACACTGTCCGACACTGCTGCCTCCGTGACGCTGAAGAAGCTGCGAACGAAACTGACTGATTGATTGATATCTACCGCAAACTAACGTTCTGGGTCAACCTCAGTCCGTCTCCAGAGTTATAAACGTACGCTGGTACGAAAAGTTAAGTTTGAGATAAACAACCGTATGCAAGCAAATCCGTTTTTCACTCGTTCTTGACGTTGCATAAGATGTCACATCGCACCGGAAGAAGTACAGTACCGTATTCAATAACTGCATGTTATATTTTAACTGTTAATGTACAAGACCTGAGTACGTGAACTAAGCAAAATGACAGATTATTTTAACTCGTTGTCGACTTGTGATTGCAGCAAGTGATCTGCCTCATCATCGGTCATTTACGTTCATTTGCTGACGAAATTCGGGTTAATTTACATCATACAAAAAATGAACGGTTTAATTATCATTAATTTCTCTATTCTTGCATGCCAGTCCATTGTTTCATCGCACATTCATAAGGGAAACAAATTCTCTTTACCGTGAAAATATAGAAGCCCGTATGCTGAAGTGTGCTAATGAACGAATAAAGTCATCCCTAGTCATTTAATACACTACTTCATACCCTCCGCTCCGTTCATATAGTTGATCAAGCTGACATTTAAGCAGGTCCCGGCTGCGCGGCATTTGAGCACCTGTAGAGCCAGACTCTTCTGCAATTATTGTATTCCTTAGTATTCTGCTTCTCTTCACGAACGATGTTTCAGTAAATGATACCCTTTTATATGGTACCACAGAACACTCTATTCTGATCTCGTATCCCATCTATCCATATGTCAATTTTAGAGCCTGGGACTGTTTTCAGGTTGCGAAGAACGTGGTTACATGTCAAAAACAATGGATTACTTTGCTTGTATTTTGGAAGATATACTGAAAAAACGGCATGAAACAGTTTTATTATACACAACAGCAAATGGTAGTCTGTGGGGAGAAGGCCGAAACCAATGTTTTTGTCCTTCTTCAAATTTCACGGTTCTTCTTCAACGCAATGGAAGTGGCAGTCATCGATTGTCGTGTAGGTCATTTGCAGCAGGTCGTTCGTTTGGAACCAATAAGCCAGCTTCTGGCCCGTGCTGCAGATTTTCACCCAACCCGCGCCGAGTTGGCATGCTTTGTCGAGCGGGATCCAGTCTCATGGCGTCTGTCGCCGAAAACTACTTAATCTGCAGCACGGATCAAAACCTCGTTTCTCGGCTCCAAACAAACCACCTACACCAGCTACTGCGCACAACAACCGAAATTCATCACTTGATATACCCTAAAGAAGACACATGACCTATGGCAGAAACCTTTTTATCAGCTTATCACATGATAGACTACCAGTCTGCGTTATTGTGTTAATAATAAAACCGTTTTGATCCTGTCGTTTAATGGTAATACTGTGCCGTTATTTCGCGCACACCAAAACGACGTGTTATAATAACTTTAAGCAGATGGGTTAGTTTGAAACATAAGCTACAGTCATCTCCTGTTGTTATTAAAGAACAAAACATAGGCAGGGAAACATGCTCAGTCAGTGTCCTTGTTTATTTCAAGTTCCTATCAGAAACTCACTGTTAAAAACAGCACCTGATGAACAACAACAGGTTGTTTACTTTCAATTAAAGATTCTTTCACACAGCACATCCCTTCATTGGTTTCTACACGCTTAACTATCATCAAGCATCGAACAAACAACTCTCGGCCAAAAACTTTGTCTGCTATCAATTTTAGACCAAGATCGAAACGGACCAATAGCAGCTGTTTCTGCAAGTGGCTATGCATGAAGACAGAACGTCGTAAAAGCGATGCCTGGCGCCATGATGCCCGTTTTACCAAGTCGCAAATCGCTTACGGGGTTCATCAGCGGCGCATACGTTTACGATCTCGAGACTCCGTTTATTCGCATCGCAAAACTTGTGAAAACGAAGTCTCTACGAACATGTTACATAGTGTACACTAACGATGGTCGCTTTAAGCAAGATCAGAAGCAAACCTCCTTTAAATGCATGTACGTAAATTTAAGGTAATTTTAAAGTATTTACTTTCTGAGGTAATCTGCCTAGCTTCCGCCTACAAACAACCACGTGGCGATTGCAACATACTTTATGGACGAACCCTCTACCTTATGCCTGAATGCAACGGTAGCTAAGCCATGAGCAGGAGGATAAGATTTGGTTACAATTAGTTATTTTGATCATGGTGAAATTCTTATGGTATGATCCTAACGATTCAGCGACTAGCACGGAATAACCTGCCAGGAACAAGCTGAAGATGATAGTTTAGTGCTTGATAAACATCAACAAATAATTGTTGTTTTTCAGCATATAATAGAGGAAAGAAGAAACAAAGGTTAAAAATAAACGAAAAAGAAAGAAATAAAAAATAAATGTCAACAAGCACGCGAATTTTACGCAAGTGTTATGCAGTAATTCACTTTTACTAGTTCTACTTATGGCTTTACTACCTCAGTCAACTACTTGCATTTAATCAGTCATGCCGTAAGCGTGAGTGCCATGCGAAGTGTCCCTCATTGTACGTAGGTAGCATTCAAAAGAAAGCTCGTGGCAGTTTCATCACTTATATCACAGTTCTCTTAACAACGGTGTATAACGCAGATGCTTCGGGGTAGTTATCGCGTTGTAACGTGGTAGCTTTCTATTTCCGCCGATAATCTCTACATTTCATTTTCTCATACCGGATTTACCGGGCATAGACACACCGCTTCCTTGCATAGTCGCCTAGACCTACCACACAAGCAGGCCACAGCTCCATGGTATTTCAGAACCTGCAGTGCACTGGATACACGATCGGCTTTCTGAGGTAGGCTGAAGAAGAGAGAGCGTTCGTGCACCAAGTAAATTTACTATTGTCCATAGGCAAAAATAGTCAAAGTAGAATTTGGTAAATCGGTAACATACCGAGTAGATCTGCTATCGGAAAATGAAATGTTATGATTTCCGACGAACTGCAAAAACTACCATGGTAGGTACCCCAAAAAACGGGTTATATTTTGTCTGTATTAGCCTTATCGTACATTACAGTATCTTATCAAGTCTAAAGCTTTATGATTCCCGATTCTTTTCCGGTGCCATCCATAGACCGGGTAGTGTTCAGAGTACTGCAAGTGACATCGTCTATTGAACGTCTGCGCTTTTGTCCAACCAACGCAGTCGTTGCTCTTTCACGACAGAACAGACTTAGGCAACGTTGCAACAGGTATGTATTGTGACGTAGACATATATAGTCAATGAATCTTGCCTGCGAAATGATTCGTAAACAGGTTCAATGTTTGGCTAACAACTCTGAACGAAGTAGGGCCAATGTGTGTTTTTTCCTTCAGCAAGTTCCAATTCCATACTGTCACAGCTCAGTTAAAAAGATATGAAGAATGTTTTTCACTTTAAATCCGATTCAGTTCTGACTTTCTTTACGTTTTAATGTGCAATATATACATTTCAGTATGCTTAAAGTGATGATTCCACGTGACACTGCCTTGGCGCAGTGCGTTAGGACAATAAACGGCATAATTGTTGTCGAAACATCGGCTATGCAATAAGCACTTTCAACTTTCAACCCCAGACAATGAATCAGAACACTAGCCATTCGGTCTGAAATTGCCTCGTAATCAGCTATTTACGCTGACGCCTTCCAAACAAGATCTAAAGGCAAGATCTCCTTGAAGAGCCAACGTTTCGGACAACAGCCGATTTGCTCATTTCCGGGCACTATAATTTAATGAAGTTTATAACTATAACTACTGCATCCGAAGACTTCTTCCGTGTAACAAACCAACTCTTTGAATCTACTGCCGATGATATGGTATTGCGCAGATATGAGCCAGTCATTACGTTTTGTGCATCGCTCTACGCGTTTCGCATCATGTGACGAGGTACTGGTTGACAGATACCTGCTTGAAGCGTATGTGTCAAATCGGTTTACCGTTAATCCGATCAACGGAGTGTGACGAAGCGCTGGAGTTCAAAGGTACGACCGAGTAGTAAAAGCCGGTCATGCCGTGCAGCTTGCGCAGTTCCATGAAAAGCAGCACATCGGTGTGATTGGTGGTTAGACAATGGACAGCGTCGTCGTCGTCATTGTCATTGGCCCTTTCCTTAATGTTGCTGGCAAACAGCGAAATCTTATTGCCATCTAAAATGCGCTTTTAAACGGCAATCCGATCAAATGCACATATTCATGAAAGAACTTACCTATACCAAACAAGGCAGTGTCCAACGACTGACGCATGAACCGGATGCAAAAGCGCAAAGCTCCTCGTTCGAACAAGTTCGGCTCAAACCTGATCATCAGCCCGCCGTTTGGGTATCGCCAAAGCACTTTGCCATCCAAACAATGAAGTTCGGCAAACCTGACACCGACCCTGTCTCGGGATAAATCACTAAAATAAAAAAGTGTACTGTTGTAACTTGCTGAGAGCAATAACGATTAACTAATTAATAAGCATATCGGATAAATAGTTGGTTGCGATGGTTTGCACAAAGAATGACCAATCGTTGAACGACCGACTAGCAATCGAGCCGTAGGAAAAAAATAATTTAAAGCAGGAGCAAAAATATGCTTCGCTACAAAATCAGAATATCTTGTGCTAAGAGCCTCAGAGTCCTGTCTCGTTGCTTCTCCGCCATGCGAAAGGACAGTGGGGGGTATCCGAGAACGAATGACAGCTGACAGTTCATATGTACACAAAGTTATGCTAACGATCTACAACGATCGCTTCTCCAGCTTCACTCCACTTGGTCGTATCGTCCCATCGCTTGACACTTGACCTTCACCCCTACCTGAATGGGGTTCCAAATGGCGATTCTGTGAGGTTCAGCCCGCTAGGAGTTTTCTTCGACGTAGCCGAACATATCCACCTTTAGTCCAGCGTTTTCTCTTCCGTACCAGGGAGCGGTGCCCCCTCTTGCGAAAGAGAATATAACTAGTGGCGGAGGGTAAATTGTCATTGAAGCTTATGATGCAAAACACGCGCTTTGTGCCACAAACAAATTCCTAGTCGTGTACTTCTCATTATATGCTATTTATACAAACTGACAAAACCAAAGTTTCCAACGTGTGAGCTTTCGCGATATCACTGCAAGTTAATTACCGACATTTTACAAGATTCGGATGAGTCAAGGGTGGCAGGAAGGATTTCGGACCACTTGCTTGGTATGGCGAATGAGATAGATGATTCGGTAGAACGTCTGACTCAGAATCAATAAGTCTCGAGTTAAAGCCCCGGTGAAGTCATTCGC